AGTTTTAATGTTAAGGCAGGAAGCGAAACTGAGTATGTTGATAAAATTGAGCGCTGTCAATTACCTAACTGATGAATAATATACAAGACTTTTTAGTCGAGGACAGTTTTTCGATTAATTTATATTTCGATTTGTCAACACTCTGAAGATATAATGAATCTACGCGTTTCCTATTTTTTACTTGGTAATACTGAGAAAAAAACTCACATAATTGTTATTATTAACAACGTTATTTTTATTCAACTCCAAAATATTGGTACAAAGTTTTAAGTCACTGGATTTATTTCTTCTGGGCTGGAAATTTTCCACACAAACTGAAAATGAAACCAACCATTCACCGTTTTCGTTTTGTAAAGCAATAAAAATTTTCTGTTCTACAGTAAACATTATTTCACTCAAAAGGAATAAAACGCAAACTTGTCAAAGTTTCTGCTGACATTTGATGTTCAAAACACAGGAATGCCATCTGAAGAACTTTAATCACCGCCTACTCTAATTTTTTTTTTGATCGCACGGTATAAAATTGCATTGTTGCAACAAATAAAGAAATCGTATCCACAACAATGAAAAAGAAAAGTCACTTTACAGTTTTGACACTGTCATCATTTGATTTGCTTTGCCTTAGTTCCTATCACAGTCCGAAGATTTTTTTGAATTACATCCAATAATAGTATATTAAAAACACATTTCGTAAAGTACGTTTTGTGGAAAGACTTCAGGTTTATGAAACGAGCAGCGAAGCGCGAGTTTTATAAAAAAAACGAGTTCTCACAAGTGACAAATAAACAAGTTTTTTATATTATTTTTTTCGATTTTGCGCGTTTTATGTACTTTTTTAACATAAAAGTCGATTTTTGCCCTAATAAGGTGGTGGTTGGTAATAAATGTCACAAAGTTTGAAAAATTAGATTTTTATAGTGTCAAGTCGCAAGTATTTTTCAAAATTTTGTTGCATTAATTCATTGGAAGATGTACTGCAAATATTTCATGAACACCACCTGAAATAAGAGAAATCGCTCAAAACGCCGCTGATAAGCAGCATTACCAACTTCTAGAAATTAAATAGTACTAGTCTATTTTAGCATCCAAATTGGTTTTAAATTGACTCATTAAAGCATCGGTTTTGGTAGCGAAATAAGTTTTCTTTCAGACGCAAAATAGAAAAAATAGTTTACAAAAGGTTTTTTGTTTTTTCTTAATTTATTCCAAATTTATGGCCTTAGATCTCAAATATTGAAATAATAAATTGATTGTCGTACAAGATAATGGCGCATATGTCCATTGTTGCAGTCAAAACAGAAGTTCTCAAACAAATAATATAAAATGAAATATTTTCTTTCATAATGAGAATTTTTATTTTAATCAGCGTATTTATCATCTCCTTCAAATTTCAACCTCAAAACCGTAAACACCTTGTCTCTACTAAAAATTTTGTATGGAAATTTAAACAACCAAAATTTTAAAAAATGGTATAGGTAAATTATTAATTGAGGTCTAGAGAAGAATTATTTAAAAAAATAAGTTTGTCAAAATAAAATCAAAACACCAAAAATTTTAGAGTAATGAAATAGTTATTTATGTATCAAGTACGCAAAATAGGGTTTTAGGGGGTTTTATGACGAGGCGAAGTCTTTAATCAAAGGAGTCACCTAAAACCTATTGCGTATGTGGTGCATACAAGATTTTTTTGTTAAAGCTTCCAAAATACGAATCGAATTCACACCTCTTACTAATTAAAAAAATTTTGTTACCATAGTAACCAATTCCGCAAAAACTGTTTTTGGGGACTGAGTACCTAAAATAACCGTTTTGCGTACTATTTTATTGAATCCGGAAAAGACTCATTTTAGGAACTCAAATGAGTGCCTAAAACAACTGTTTTCGAGAGCGTATACAAAAAAATAAAAAAAAACGCTGTAGATTCAACAAAAATGAAATTCTGAAAATGTAGTCTTTTGTTAATTTTTTTAAGTTTGCTTAAAACCAGGTGCATCCTCAGATCCCGAAGCTGTTATCTCGATTTCAGGAAGTCTTCATCGCAATGATCCACCATAATGACATCATCAACTTTGATCGAGAAGCGTGCATATCGCTATTCATTCCTTGATAATTACGACCCCACTTGTCGTGAAATAACCGTTCAAAATTCGATAGTTAAACGCTCAAATTTCACGGTTTTTTAATCTTTTGTTTAATATCATGTTCGAGGTTCTTATCTTTCTCCATCTCGCCGATTGCTAAGTATTTTGCTATAGTGTCCGTCCGGTGAAGGGCACGGGGTACGTCACGCTCCGGAAATGACGTAAGAGTCGAGGGCCAGATTCAGGAGCTTTGCACGCGATGCATTAAAATTAAGTGTCTGATGCCACGTTCACTTAACGCTACAAAGATTATTTTGCGCTGGATTATAAATGACCCTTGGAAATTTTATCGAAGAGGTACAATTATAATTTTTTTGTGTTGCTGTTCCTGGGAAGTTAAGATTTCTAAAAGACCGAAGCCCACAAACGACAAATCTTATTCATTCACTAAAAGAATGAAAGAAAACTGCATCTGCTCTCATAAAATGCTAATAACGAAATAATGTTGCCAACTTCATAGCAAAATTGTTGACCATTTTCATCAAAAATATTATGTCTCTTTCAGTTGAATCGTCTAGGATGAAAAACAAATTTCTTTAACAATTCAGCTATCCGAAGTTACTCCAGTAATAAAGTTCAGTATTACCAACTTAGACATTCTTGATTACCTTGTCTTTTCATTTCTACACATTTAGTGTTTCTGTTAGGTATTTATCATTTATTTTAAGAACAGCGTGTATATTAAATTTTCTCACTTCCATTTTTAAATTTTGCTATTTTTTTGTACTCAACTTTTTTTTAGTTTTGATAATCTTTTTGCTTTTTGTTCATTCTTTCAAAAATTCTGAAGTAGCTGAAAAATAAAAGAGTCTATTCTAAGTACATTCTACACAATTTTAACATTTGGTACAATCATTACTCATTCTTCGTTTCTTAAAGCTCTTGTTTCTAAAAAACTCTAACTGATCTTTGTTATATTTTGTAGTAAACAGAAACAATTATTGTTGCAATAAATCTGTACATACATCATTAAGATTTCTTCTATTTTGTTCTGGGTAGTCTTAAATTGTACTACTTCACTGTATCTGGTTATTTTTTAGCGTTTTTTGTTGACAGTTTATAAAATGAATGTATTAATTTTTTTTTAATTTTGAATTAAGTGAAAAACTTAAAACATGCCATTTTCAAAAATAAATTTTACAGTATTCCTAACTTAAACAATCATTCTTGATCACCTAGTAGTTTTTTTTTACGCATTTTTTGTTTCTGTTTATTTTTGTTTTTTTTTTTAAATTTATGTATTATTGTTTTCAAGCTTACTTATACAGGGTGAATATAAAGTATGGAGCCAAGTGGTTTTATTTTTAATCATTTGCCTCCAGAAAATAATAATTAATATAAATTAAAATAATATAAAAAATGTGATCGTATTTTCAAACGAAATTTTGTTTTGTTTTTGAGTTATGCGATTTTTTTTGTCAAAATTGCAAATTATGTAAAAAAAAATTTGAAAAAATTAAATATAAAGCATATAGTTGTAATCCTTAGAGTATAGCTTTTATGAGAAAAATTATTTTATAGTGGGTTGCTTTTTTAAAAATATTTTTTTTTGTAGAACTCAAAAACAAAAGAAAATTTTGAAAATTTTCATTCTTGTTAAAACATCACATTTTTATAGCACTTTATCACTCATCAATTAGTTTTTTCAAAAAATAAATAGTTTAAGCAAAAAACGTTTAGTTCCATACTTTTTATTCACCTGGTAGGTATCCTAATATTAAGCATCTCTAAATTATGTCAAATGATACAAGTGTCTCAGAATTCGCGCCCTAGAGGAAAATGCCATGTGAGGTAAAAATTATCGATCTTTTTTTTTTGTTAATTTTTTTTGTCAATTTCATTACTTTAATAAATGTTACCGATTATTAGCAATGTAAACTTTATGATAAAGAACTCAAAAGGTTTAAACCTTCGAATAAGGCAAGTTTAGTTATTTTCACTGCTTTGAGCTTTATTAATATTATTATTACCTGTTAAAATATTTACAGATACTTACCTTAAAATCACCCAGTATAATAATATTTATAATTTATTTAGTTGATAAATAAAGGGTTTTTTCGTTCATAACAATTTGAAAGCATTAAGTATCAACAATAGTTATTTATTATACAAGACGAGTAAATAAACAATCTTTATCGTCGTGTATAATATTTCGTTTTATTTTGTACTCATCTACCAGAATTTCTTTAATATAAACAGTAGATAAAAATTACTTTATTTCACTGGAAGATAAAAGACTACTTTATCTACTGAAATTAGTTGATAAAAGCACTCTTTAACATTGAGTACAAAATAAAAAAATGTATTATTTCAAAGTCTATTATCGATTTTTCATTGTTAAAAAAATTAGAACTCGGTAACAAATGAAAAATAATGTGCCTAGACTTACTAGACTAGTGTTGTTTTAATTTGAGGCTAAGTCGGCTCGAATCTTCAATTAAGGTTGATCTCTGAAGCTTACGGAAAGCTATCTCGTGGTTTCAGTTCCGATACAGTGCTTGAAGCTTTCAGGAGGATGACATTAACTCCGCCTATCGCATGCGCTCGCCGTATCAGCCAATCACGTTAGACAAGCCTCATTACCAAATTACTAATTAAACATCTCAAACTGATCACATGAACAAGAATTTTCACCAAATCGTGCCCTAATACTGAAAATCAAAACAAAATTTTTACTTCGGCTGAAAAAAGCTTTCACGGTTGTTTTCAGTGAAAGCTCTGTGTTCGAAGACTTGTCGAATTTTCGTCTGTCGAATAATTGTCCATGGTGGTGAAATGATGAGCATCCCTTGTAGAGGTGGTGCCTTTGGAGGGGGTAGGAACCGCCCCGCCCCTTAGAGGAACCGCCACTTGCGATATTGCTTCCTGCCATTCCTGCCGGCGCTTCGTGTTCCGCAGGAGCTGCACTACACTTCCTGTCAACACTGTCTTCCTGATCTATCATTGACTGATCGCTGCCATTTGCAACTGGTAGCTGTAACGACGTGTTAATTAGTGTTTTTGGGGCGATTTTCGCAAAGTTGCGGTTTATGGCAGTTGCGTGTTATATGACAGTTGATTATTTAACTTTAGTGTTAAGCCGATTCTGGTTACAAGGTAAGTGAAAATGCTGCCTTTTGCATGTTGACGTCGTGCTTACATATTTATGTACTGCCATCTTTTGGCGATAGGCCAAAGAGAAGCGGGAAAAAGAATGAACTTGTAATAACAGTTTGAGGGTTGGAAAACGGCACTGGAGGATAACTCTTTGTGACAACAAAAAAATTTGTGTTTTTAGAAGAAAAGTTGTTCACTTCATGTGTCAGATATTGTCTAAAACTCCTCCTGTAATAAAAGCTGTGGTAGATTTTGTAAGGCAGAGATAAGAATATCCCACCCAGTACGTAAAGGTGCCGACGGTATTTTATGATGACAACGGCTTTGTCGCCATCCGGAACTGATAAAAACTTGAAATATAGTCTATGGGGCCGGACATTATGGATAAACCACAAGCTCCGTCATCTCTATCTTACTACACCGATATTTATAAGCTATAAAATACTTTTGCGAGGATATATTAAAAATTTCATGGCGATTTTTATCAAAAAAAAAAAGACAGAAAAGTGACTTCTGCATCTACAACTTATAAATAAATTAAAACAAAATCAAACTTTTTATTTAATAAACTAGTTAAATAATAGACTTCTTGCAACATTAATATCATACCTACATATTTTTTATTTGAACAGTTATGAGAAAATGTTGGGGTTTAAAAAGTTGATTTTTTCCATTCAGGCTTTTGTTTCTATTCTCTTAACGTAATAAAGTTAACAAAATGACTTTTAATAAAGACCCGACTGATAAAAAGTAAATTAAAATTTCAATTCAGATTTAATACCTAACTTGAACAAGTCGTCACTTCTTCTTAAATGAAATTTGATTGCAAATGTTGCAAAATGGAGGTACAGGAGTTAAAGTCATCTTGCACAAAAATTAAAGCTTATATTGATTGAAATATATTTCGGACACTAACTAGTCCCATCTTCAGTCTTCAGTTGATAATAGAAACATAATAAACATATAAATTATTGAACTTTAAATTTAAAAATTTTAAAAAGTAAAAGTGATCGAGGAAATGTCTATAACTCTGTTCTTAGATTCAGTTTAGAGAAAACCAATTAAAAACTAAGTTGGGAAACCAATTACACAAATGGATATAAGCTTATTTAAACATTTTTTTTTAATTGATTTACAAAAATAAAAAAGTAGGATGGCCTTTACAAGTCAATTTCACTTATTTGAGAAATAAAATGACACTTACTTAAATTATTAAAACTGATGAACTACGTTTTGAAAAAAATTCAAACTTGGACAACTACGACAATAATGAAAACTTTTCAACAATTGAAGTGGATATTAACTATCTTTGGAGAAATCAAAATGTATGTATGTTAAAAGAATAGCAATATAATATAATGACAATAGACACGGTTTCGAAGGTTTATTTTGCGTTTTATTTTATATTATTTTTATGCCTTTTTTCTTTAACGATACAATACAATTGTTGATACCATATCTTAAAAAACTTAAAACCATATCTTAAAACTTTAGCAGTAATTTGATAACGAGTCATCGAAATAGAGTAAGAGACGTAATAAGAGCCAAAGGAGGTCCCATCACACAATACTAGGTTTTTATAGGAACGGTGAAAATTTTAGAATTTATTTCTTCAGAAGTTTCTTTTTTTATTCATTTTTAATTTTAATTATAGTTTTTTATTGATTATTATTTTCTTCAGTGTTGACTATGAATGAGTAGAAATTTATTTATTGTAACTGTTTTTCTATTTAATATACATTATATTAAAAAAATTAAGAGTATCTTCTTAATAACTACTTCAATTGTTGAGCAGTTTATTTAATTTTTGAATTTTCAACAACCGTCAATTTTCACAAATACAAGGTGCCCCTGAACTCGCGCCCCAGAGAAAAATGCCATGTAAAGTAAGATACCAAGAACATGAAAAAAATTCTATCTATAAAAATTTCCAAGTTATGAGAGTATAAATTTTGCACTTTGACTCTATTTATTTCTGTTGGAAAAATAATTTTTCAAGTTTTTTTGATACAGACTATTAGAAGAGGAAACAAGGAAGCTGTATCCTAAATTGCAACTCTGTTTAATGTTATTTGTGGCTTTTATTGGCAAATTTTTTGTACCTTTACTAGATAATTATAAAAAACATATTCATGATCATCGGTATCATTAAATAGACATAAAAAAATGTCAAATGTCAAAAAATAAATGTCAAAATTTTAGAATTTTTTTTTTATGTTCTTGGTATCTTATCTTACTTCAAATTTTTCTCTGGGGCGCACCCTGTATAAGCAAAATAACTAGTTTACACGATTTTTCTACCTTAGCTGAAAGTTATAATTTCTTATAGATTTTCAGGCACTGAGTTCAAAAAAAGTATTCAAAAAAATCTACCACGTTACGTTTAAGAAATATGTAAATAACAAAAATACCAAACCGCCAAACAACAAATTAAAAATGAGTTATTTTACTTTGTTTTTTATATTTTTTGGATCAGTTTTCTTTATAACAGTTCAACAGTAATCTTCTAACATATTTTCATCCCAAAAACCTTTGTACCGATCTTTGAAAAGCCTTCAGATCTCGATGAATACACTCGCCCTGTTCGTCACTCATACTGCCTAAGTTTTTAGAAAAAAAAGTCCAAATGCGAGTCAGTGAAATGTATTTGAAGACCCATTTAGACCCATCTGGTGGTAATTTTGCAATAATTTAGCAACAATTAATTAAAAAAAAAAACTTTTAATCAAAAGCAGGAAAATTATCGTTGGGAACAAAAAACTGTGACGTGATAAAACAAATTTAAGTATTATTTTTGTTTAATTAAAGGTAAATAAACTTAAAAATAAGAATTTGACTAAAGGTATATTAAACAAGTTATTATTTGTAAACTAGTATAATTATTATAAAAATGATTTATTTTACAAAATAAGAAATTTTGGAGACATTTCAAGTCGTTAGAAAATAATGTGACTGAAAAAAAATCAAAAAGAAATGTTTAGTAAAATGTTTTTTAGGATACTGAATTGGTAACTAGCGTTTAGATAGTCCGGTAGATAAAATTTACTGGTAGAAGTCTACTACCGGCCGGTAGTCTAACTACGGGACTCGTTTATAACTATATAAACACTACTTAAATTTTTGTTTTCATAAATTTTTAATTTTTTTTTTGAAAGTGATCGTTGCTGTATCCTAAAAACTCTTACACATTATACGACCGGTATCATTTTTATGGCCTTGTCATGGCGTCGCCATAAAATAGTTGCTACTGGTCTAATACCGTAAATAGCTATTTTTATTGGTAATGCTAATTGTATTTTTTCTTATTATTAATTGTGTAGGTATACAAAGCACAATAAATTATTTGATATTTTAATGCCAAAAATTACCGGTCCTATATAAATATTATTGTTGATGAAAGAGTAGTTCACTTCTTCCCTGACAAATACCTCATCCAGTTTCAATTTTTGAAATAAATTCAAAATATAAAAAAAATGTTTAATGCCTCACCAAGATCTTGCATCCACACAGTAGTAAGATATTTTTTATGCTTTAAAGTGTATCTACAACTTTTATTGTTTTGTTTTTCTCTTTTAATAGATAAAAATTACTCAATACACAAATTTTATTTAAGGGAGAGAGAAAGAAAATAATAGACGACCATTCATCTAAAATGTATGAATGTTGTTTATGAGCTAAAATAAGATTAAATGACTTTAATATTTGGTCTCCAAATTAAACAACCCACTTTTGACACTGTTTTTATTTTAGAATTGTTTAACAAAAATTAATTAAATAACACTGGAGCTAATTTATTTTAACTACAGTTTAAATTAATATTATGTTGTTAAGAACGTAAAAAACATAAATTCCTATAATTTTTTTATTATTAAAAATAAATCTGTATACTAACCAATTTGTTTAGTACTAAAAAAAGTTATGTATTGATGGAAAAATTTACTTCTATTTAATCAAATGTCCTAAATAATTAAGAAAAAAAGTAAATTTTCAAAATTGGATTTTTAAAAAAGGTAATGTATAAAACACCAGATCCTGTAAAATTTTCTCGCCAATTTAATATAATTAAAAAATGTTGGGTCGCATTACTCCAACTACAATGTTTTAGTTGTCTAAAAATAAATTTTGTAAAACACTGCATAATGAGATGAGGGAGCTCTTCCTGTTGCCTAATTGAAACGGAAACGAACAATCGTGTTGGCCGCGACAAACTCGCGTGGCTCGACTTAAATTTACTGATAAAACCACTGATAACAGATCAAGAAGCCAGCGATTACCATTTATATATTAAACACAAATAAATAACTAGTTGTAGTGTTCTACCAGTTCTGTTTTCCCACCAAAAATGAGGTAAGACGCTTGATAAAAAAAAATTCGCGTCAAAATTACTCTTGCATGCCAGAGTATTTATCTTTGATAAAAACGAGCGTAAAACGTAATTACTAGATGATAAAGTTCGTCACGAAATAGGCTAATAGGAATTTAATTGTTGAAGAAAAAAGTGCCCCCTTCGTCGCAAAATGTACGAAAGCTCGTGTTCGTACCAAGGAGCTTTGGAATTGAAACGAAGCTCAGGAAGCACGTGTCCGCTGGGAATCAAGACTGAGGAATTTGGAACGGCCGATTGGCCTGCTTATAGATTCTGCAATCCAAGCACTTTTGAGCAACTCAAGCAGAGTGTTGAAAAGGCGAAAGCTGCCTTACAGGTAGGTGTGATTCCCATTTTCATTTTTTAGCGATTTTATCGTGCTTTTTTTAGGACAGAAGTGGTTTTCTAGGGACGGGAAGCGCCTTCAGTGATTTGTACAGTGGAGTTTCGACGGGAAGATCACAAGAAAATTTGCAGGATAATGCCAGAATAAGAGAAGGGAGTGATAACGACACCAAGAGGATAACTCAAGGTAAGTGCGGTTTTCTAATAACGTAATCGTCGTAATTATTTGGTAATGGCGGAGGGACTTCCTCAATAACAACACGAGCGGTGGGTCGAAAAAACAACATAAAATTCAATTTTTTTATTTCATTTTTCAAAACACTAAAAATGTATGACTAAATAATTATTAATGTGAATATGTCTCAACAAAACTTTTCTGATTTTTACGATCCTTCCATAATTTATAAGAAAATAAGTGTTTCAATATCAAAACGCAACTTTTGTGAAATAAATAATTTGATCTGTTATAAGTTTACTTTTATAAATTTGTAAATTATTTACAAATAAGTCACAGCTTATAGTACCTACTTCTGTCTTCGAAAGTCTTATTTTAGTGCTGGAAGAGTTTTTGTTTGACAAAATAATGTGAAATTTGAATCAATATTTCAATTTTGTTTCTCAGAATTGACTTTGAAGCCAATTTTATGTGATTATAAAATATTATAGAAAATAATCTTCGCATTTTTCCACATATTCAGATTAATTAAAAAGATATGACTCACTTGGTATGGTCGTTTTCGGACATTTGTTGAAGCACTAAAAATTTTTGTCTAAATAATAAATCAGTAAAGTGAATGTTTATACAAAATGTCTCAACAAAACTTTATATAAATATAGGTACCGGGTGTTCTGTTTTTATTCTTACAAATTTAAATAGATGATTGAATATTCAATTTCAAGATCAAAGTTTCCTATAAACATGTTTCGAAAAATGCTATGTAAAAAAGCTACACCCCTTAAAAGAGATGCGTTTTGAAGGGTTTTCTCCAATATTTCAGAATAGATAAAATTACAAAATTTAATAAAAGAAAAAACAAACTAGTACACTTAAATATACAGTATATCCCCAGATTGAGTTTACAAGAGGAAAAATTTTTTTTTTGATTTCACCCTAAAATTTCAAATGAAAAACAGCGAACTAATCTGTAATTAAAACTTTATCATTCTGATTCAGTGGAAAGAAAAATTAATTATTTTTTGGATTGCAGACTCCTATTTTTTTTCTCTGCTTTTTAAGTCCCATCACATTTTATTTTTTTGACAATTTGTCAAATAATTAATTAATTAAATAATGATTGTTCTTGTTAAAAATGACTTCGCTGTTTCTTTGAGTTGCAATTTATTAAATTTATATTTTTCACAAACATTTTTGTTATTTAACTTGCGTCAATGCAATTGTCAGAGTAACATTATTGTCAAAAAAATTAATACGCTAATGTTATAGAATTTAAAATGCAGAAAAAAATTACTGCAAGTCTAAAATCAAGGGAAAAATGAACTTTTCTTTCCACGGAGAATAATAAAGTTTTAATTTCAGATTTAGATATTCGTTTCAGGACAAGGAAAAAATGTTTTTCCTTTACAGTTTTGACGTAAAATCAAGATAAACATTTTTCGTCAACTTTTTATGTAAAAAAACAAAAAAAAAACAAAAAATGACATTAAAAAAGTTGTTTTATAAAAAAAGTCTTTCTTATGACAAGTGGATATCAAGTGATTCATTTCACTACACTATTTATTTTAAAATATCGAAAATTACTAAATTTTGTAACTACTTTCTTCTTGAATTAAGGGGTTATTTATGTATTTTTATTTTAATTTTGTGTTTTATTGGCTACTTATGTTTGTTTTCGAGAAAATTTCAAAGGTAACTACGTTAGATTCATAAAAAAAGTCATGAGAACAATTTTTTAGGAAACAACTGATTAATCAAACACTTGTTTTTCAATATTTTTTAAACTTGCAAAAAATTGTTGAAATTTATTAAATAAGTATTAGCAGCGTTTTTTCCCCACGAAATTAAATGCTTTAACTGAATTATTAAGTATTAAAAAATACCCGATTTTTGAAATACCTACCATGATAATTATTATTATTAGCGTTTAAAAAAATAATAGTTATTTATTCGACGAGTTTGAGGGTAAATCGGACGCTTTATTTGACCGAGTGGATTTTTAAACCACGAGTGTAACGAGTGGTTTACCATCCACGAGGTGGAGTAAATAATCCGGTTTACACTCAAACGAGTTGAATACAACATTTTATTCTTCGAATTAGAGTCAACAAGGCTTTAACTTGCTTTAAATCTGTTAAAAATAATCTGACGTTTCGTATAGAGAAATGCGAAACAGTTGTCAAAACTTCCTTACACGGGAGAAAATCCGTAAATTTTGACAGTGTCGAAGAATAAAGTACTTTTTAGCATTTTTTAAATTCTATTAATCAAAATTAACACAATGCTGTAGATTTAAAAAAAAACTGGTTTTGAGAAATACGAATGAATCTGAAATCACATTATTTTTCAAACTGTTTTTATTAGTATTTGTGCAATTAAAGAACAGAAA